CTCCTTCTCCTCCTCCTCCTCCTCCTCCTCCTCTTCCTCCTCCTCCTCCTCCTCTTCCTCCTCCTCCTCTTCCTCCTCCTCCTCCTCCTCCTCCTCTTCCTCCTCCTCCTCCTCCTCGTCGCCTTCTACATAGCACTTGCGCAGGGTAGATACACGCCAGGTCCTAGACATGTAGCAGTTGAGGAGGAGGAGGAGGAAGAAGAGAAGAACTACAAGACGATGAGGAGGAGGAACAGGAGGACGAGGAGGAAGAGGAGGGGGAGGAGGAGGAGGAGGAGGATGAAAAAGAAGAAGATGAGGAGGTGGGGGACGAAGAGGGGGAGGAAAGAGGAGGAGGAGGAGGAGGAGAAGGAGGATGAAAAAAAAGATGAGGAGGTGGAGGACGAAGAGGAGGAAGAGGAGGAGGAAGAGGAGGAGGAGGAGGAGGAGGAGGAGGAGGAGGAGGACTTACCTCGTTGCAGCAGCAGGGGCACTCTCCCGGTGAAGGCTCCAGCGGCGGTGGCGATGGCTCCAACAGCGCAACAGCGGGGCGGTGGGGAAATGGGGCAGTATGTCGTCAACGCCGACAGCCCCAGCACACAGGCGGCCGGCGGGGACGAGCACCAGGAACCACGGCGACGGAGAGCGCTGCACCGGCCTGCTGCTGGCCCGATCTGGGCCGAATTCGAATTCAAAAAATGGCCTGATCTGGGACGTCGATGTTAGTCGATCGCCAACCCAGATCGGGCCATCAATATTTCAAATCCGGTAGGGCCCTTACCGGATCCGCCTCCAAGGCGAGGTTCTGAAGGTCGATCAAGACCCAGGCATACCCATAAACCACGTAAAAAAGACCTGCGCCTATTTTGCGCAGGCCTCGGAATTGTAATTTCTGGGTTCTTCAGGGCCCCTTCTTCCGGCCAGATAAACCGGATGGTTCAGGGCCATCCGGATATCCGCAAAAATAACACAGAAAAAAAATCAGTTTATTTTCAGATTATTTTCATAGTCGTGAGTTTTTTTTTAAAGATTTGGTATAGTAAAAATTCTTCAAGCACACTTCCCTAAAGAAAGTGTTGCCGAAATTTTTGGAATTTTCACATTGTTACCAGATGCTACTATTGAGTAGCTTAGAGTGCGCTACGGAGTTGAACTCCATAAACTCGACAGGCAATGCCTGCCTTGATTTTGTGACGCAGGTCATTGCTACCTGCGAGTGTTCTTCGAAGTCTTGAGCTTCATCAATTTCTGCTATCAGACTGAAAGCAGGTCGATTTGCGACTCAACTCATACCCACCATGATACCCATGCCCAAATGTATGTGACCCTGTAGGTGAAAGGCATTTCCGTATGAAAGAAAACCTACCCTTCGTACCTCTCTTGAATGGCCATCCAAAAGATGTGCGAATCGGAACAGGCAGGTATGCCTTTGTTGAGTGGGGGTCAGAAAGGGGCGTGTGGGACATGAACTTAGGAACAAAGGAGTTGACCACGTTTGTAGCATTCACGTGTGGATTTTCCTTGGGTTTCATGTGTATGTACGTATGTATGGGAGCGAGGGCTTGCTCTTGGATTGAGGGTGATTTGGATCAGTGAATGCAGGGTGTGAGTGGCAAGGTTCAACTGTGACTGTGAGAAAGACACTCCCTGATCCCTCCGAGACTCTCATTTGTTCTCTTTCTTTTATCCTCCCCTACTGTACGCATCTAGCGAGCAGGTGGGAGCAGCCGAGTGCAAGGATCAGCGCTCGACCTTCGATCAGACTAAGACTTAGTTCGGGTACGGCAAATTGTTCGGTAACCTAAGACTAATACCACTATTGGCCCCCCCCGCGAAGAAAGGACGAGCGGACCCCGTCCTAAAAGGAGGTTTTGCTTTTTAGATTATTGGTCGGATGTTAGTCCTAGGCCTGGGTTCAAGTTCTTTGTCCAGGATATCCCAGGACCCCGTCTCTGCGTGAAAGGATTCTCCCCTCACATAGAGCCTAGTTGCCTTGCCCACCGGGACACTCGGCCCGAAGACTGGTGGTGCCGCCGAGGCTGAACGACATATCCCTCAACCATTCAATATCGTGAAGGATAACCCTCCACGATACAGTCCTTTAGCCAATCAATATTGTGAGGCTGTTATCACGACTGCGTTCATATTCAGGCTTGCTAGTCGATATGAGAAGACCCTGCGCCCGCGCAGTTTTATACTGAGTCTCTCGCGTGATGCCTATCCGATTTCCGCTTCGGAAAGTTATGGGTCGACTACTGAAGGGCCTACGATTGTGCGCGTTGTTCTGTTTATGTTGTTTCATCCGTATGTGTGCGAATGTATAAGTAATTTTAATTTTATGTTCTTGAGTGGAGTACGTGTGGTGTATAAAGGATGTCCTAGTCGACCGACGCTGAATCGCACATGGGAGATCAGCGCCCCAGCGTGACGGTTCGCGTACGGGTTCGAGCTAGGCGTGGACCACCCCCTATGCTACAGCACACGACAAACGCCCTCGGCTGGGCCACCTCCTCGATTGCACGTAAAAGCTTTCACTTGTGGTCCAGTAGCTCGACGGGGATACTCCCACCCAAGGGATGGTGACAACTCCCACGGGTGGAGGTGAGTTGTACCTCGCGGAACCCTATCATGTCGTAGAGACTCGATGTAGGTATAGCTGGCGCACTCGGCCGGAGCGGCTCCGCCTCTTCCCCTTTCATGAAGTGACATGCGAATCTGCCAATCCTGCGTGAGGAGGGCGGGAAGGTCCCCCACCAGCGGGGACCATGCGCTCGACAGCGCGTCGCCGGTCACTGCCGGACACCCCTTCCCCTGCCTGAAATGGCGCCCCACCACGTACTGGTTCCCCCGGAACTCGTGGCCACAGAACAGGCACTTCAACATACAGTCCCCGTGAAACCTCTAGCGGAGATCCTGACCCACGCGAACTTGTACACACAACACTTCTTTTGCGCCTTACAACTCTCATCGTCCTCGACGTCCTCGAACATTTGTGCCTGACCCCGCTCCATCATGGTCTACCGCCGAAGTTTGTTCTTGTTCGTTGCAGACAACCATTCGAAGACGTCCCCCCCTGCACAAGGGCATACCGTCCTACTGCCAAGCGGCCAGCGCTGGCCAACTGGCCCTGTGCCAGCGCCGCACGCAGAGCTCACCAGGCATGCCTCCCGGATGCAGAGTCGTCCGTACCACGTTCCGCAATTGAACGCGCGTTCAACGGGATTGAACGCATGTTCAATAATTGAACACACGTTCAATTTTCAGTTCTTCTTCGTTGTCGTCGTCATTGATGGTGAGGGAATGCTGCAGCGCCAGGGCTTAATCTGCCGCAACCGATGCCATCGCGGTCCGCCGCTCCGGTCTTGCTGCAGGCACCGCACTGCCCCAATCTCTGTCTGTCTGTCTGTCTGTCTGTCTGTCTCTCTCTCTCTCTCTCTCTCTCTCTCTCTCTCTCTCTCTCTCTC